ACTTGGGTCCATGACCTTGTGCTGGGCACCAGGGAGGAAAATCACAGAATGAGTCAGGATGGAAGGGACCACACTGGGTCACCTGGTCCAACCTCTCTGCTTAAGCAGCCTCATCTCAAATCACACTGCACAGGATTGTGTCCAGATGGCTCTGGGATATCCCCAGTGAGGGAGATCCCACACCCCCTCTGACAGCCTGTCCCAGTGCTCAGTCACCTGCACAGTGAAGTTCTTCCTTAGATTCAGATGGAACTTCCTGTGCATCAGTTTCTGCCTGTTTCCTCTTGTACCATTGCTTGGCACCACTGAGCAGAGCCTGGTCCATCCTCTGACACCTCCCTTCAGATAGTGACAGATATTGATTAGGTCCCTTCTCAGTCTTCTCTTTTCACCTCTGAACAGGCCCAGCTCCCTCAGCATTTCCTCATAAGGGAGGTGCACCAGTCCCCTCATCATCTTTGTTGCTCTCCACTGGATTTGTTCCAGGAGCTCCATATTTTCTGTCCTGAGGAGCCCAGGACTGGACACAGCACTCCAGATACCACTAGGGTTAAGTAGAGTGGAAGAATCTCTTCCCTTGACCTGCTGTAAAGATCATTCCTCAAAAGATGTGAAAACTTTTCTGTTAAAGGTCATTCCTCAGCTCCCATATGGAGCAAGATCTTAAGGTAAAAAAATGCAGAAGGAAGAATTTTATACAGAGCTGAACTTTGGGTGGTGTATTGAAAAAAAGTGTATGCACTGGCTTGTGCTAAGAACTTGTTTGTAAATACTGTGATTTGTTTAATCCATAGCATTGGTAGTGTTTAGTTTACTCTCCCCACAAAGCTGACACACACGTGGCATTCTGTTGTGGTGGGATAGGGACCCATGTGCAGTCTCCTGGCAGAGTTCACAGGACGTCAGTCAGCCTCACTCGGGTCAGTCTATTCCCAAAAGCTGGAGCTGGTGCCCAGGACCTGCAGCAGTGCTGGCTGGAGGGGTGGCAGCTGTGTGGCCACCAGAGGAGATGGGCACTGGCCCTGGCTCCCAGGCAGATAGAGCACTGCAGCAGCACGCTGTCCCCTGTCCCTGAGGCAGGACATTCACACCTTACTGCTGCCAGCAGGGACATGCAGGTGTGCTGGGTTTTGAGGAAGGTGGCTGGTATACAGAACTTGAAAAATTACAGCCTCTTCTCTTGGCCACTTGAGAGTGCACAAACATCCCAGTTTGCCTGCTTTCAAGGCAGGCAGAAGGTAGACCCTGTAAGATGCCTGCAGTAAGCCCTGTGGACTGGAAAGGCCTCCCATCTTTTTTTTTGTGATACAAGCAAGAAGTTTCTGCATTAGAAACAACAATTTTAAGTATTGTTGACATTTACAGTGAAGGTTTCCTCCATTCCTTCACATAAATAACAGAGAAAAAGGCTAGAATTGAGACTTAGGCTTATTCTCACTGTGTGGTCACTGTCTGCCTAATTTCTAACTATTTAGTTTTTCCAAATGTCTGAAAATTTCAGGGTCAACCTGAAGTCAATATGTACTTGTGTTCAGACAAATCATGCAGTACCGAGCTGCTTTTTGAATCTTCTGATGTTGTAAGGCAAAGTTGATAGAATATGTCAAGATAACTCAGGATTCTTAGATAAATGTAGTCAACTCCTCCTCTAGATGGGAGAAAAATGTGCAGAGGCTTCTTGCTTTGTTTTTATAGTAAGAGTGCATGCATAGTGGTTGATAGATGAATGGGTTAAATAATCTCCCACTCTCCCCAATGATGTAAATTCTCCATGACAAAAAAAATATATATAATAAACAGGCTATGGCTGCAGAAAACTGCTGTATATTTCTTCCCCTGCTGATGTGTTCGTGTAGACAACTTGGCCTTTCTTTTGTCCTTGCAAAATTTCTTTCAGTCATTGACTTCCAGGCAGTGGCTGTGCACAAATCCTGTTACTTGAAGCCGGAAGGAATTTTTCTTTGTAGTATTTGTTATGTGTACTTGCCCTTGCATTATTTTCACTCAGTACATAGGTGTCTAAGGCAGACTGTGCTCATCACCCCTTCAGTTTCTTACCCTGGAGAGAGGATGTCTCATCAATTTACTTTGCATAATGCACCTGCTTTCCTGGTGCCCCATTTCCTTTAGTCACAGCCTGGAGGTGAGCTCTGATATCAGATACCTGTGATAATCTTTGCAGTGGGTGATTGCAAGTGATCCTCCACCTTGCCCCAGCTGTATTAAAAGATCCTGCCAGTGGCTCCTTATTGTTCCTAACTGCTTTGTGGTCTTGTGCAAGGTTGCAGGTCAGCCACAGCAGCATCTGGTGATCCTGCAAACCTTCCCCCAGGAAAATACAGAAAATACAGTAACTCCTTCTGGAGGAGGTCTTGTCTTTCCATCCTCGTGCCAGCGTCAAGGTTCAAGTGCAAGTGCCCACCTTAGCAACAGTGCAGTAGAGTTCCAGCTCAACCAGAAAGATCTAGTGTCTGTCCTAGCCATTAGCTTTTCCTGGCTTGTAGCTCCTGCTCCTGGCTTCCAAAAAGAGGGCTAGACCAGATGAACTTAGTGCCACTTTCATTCCTGATGTGGGTGAACACTTGACAGTGAAGTACTTTGTCTTTTATGGAGCTTCATTTGGCAATTTTGAATAGTAACACTGAGATTTGTGCAACTTCCAAAACTTTTGGATGCCATTTATTGTTGGACTGTGGAGTCTGCTGAAGAGCTATTTCCTATTTGTCCCTTCATAATCTGTACTGAATGCTCAATATTGTTGTTTGTTTTGTTTTTGTTTGGGAAGCACCTCCATTCCAAATGCTGCCATATCCACTCCTAAAGTAGTTTTATTTTATTTCTGAACAATCACTGGGAAGGCATTGCTAATTATCTTGCAAGATGAGTAAACCAGAATCATTTGAGTGCATCACTCAACTGTATTCTTTTAATGTTTTTTTCCAAAATAGTCCATGGGATGGTCTCCAAGTAGTGCAGGGTGTAACTTGTGGGTGGTAGAGCAAACCTGGCATAACAAAAGCTTGGTAGATGGGAGGTTGCAGCCCTTGACATGCAATTCTTTGATGTCTTCTCTGAGAATGTGGGAAAACAACCTCAGTAAAGTATGCTGTCCAACAAAAGCCAAGGTGTGAAGCAGGCCAAGGAGAGGACTGTGGCATGATGCCATTAGAGGTCACAGCAACCTACTGCTTTTAGGGCAGATTTAGGGGAATAGCATTCCTGTTGGAGGGGAAGCCTGCTGCCTATGCATCAGAAGAAATTCTTGAGATGAAGGAGAACTAAACACCACTATTTTGTTATCAAAGTTGCTTTTACCCTTATAAATTGCCTTGTCCCTTGCTCCACTCCAAAGTATGATCTGAAGGTAATCACACTCCCCTGCTTGTAATGGTTGGCAGGTGCTGTCAGTGCTGCCAAATCAAAAACCTCCCCAAATCTCAAAGTAATTGTCAGAATTTTCTGTTTATCACCTTCATGTGTCTGGCCAGCTTGTTGTCATGTTCAAAGCTCTTTGGCACATGGGCTGCCTTGAGCTCCTGTGTTTATCCCACACATTTGTCCTGTTGCTGCTGAAGAAGGATGCAGTGGAGAAGAACAGAATTCTTTCTGTGAAAGGGTCTCCCCTAACTGTGCTAATTGCAGTAATTAGTGTCTGTCAGGAAAGCTGTTTAAGTTTGAGGTGAAAAATCACTTGTTGTCAGTTTTCTTAATGTTTCTGTACCATTTTTAGTCTTTCATAAAGAAATGAGACTTATTTGTTCATTTTGACTGGTGTTTCCTAAGAACTCCTGAATTAGTTGTCTGATGTATTTGAGGATATTAGAGTTATTTGCTATCTCCCAAGCAAAGATGGAAGGGGACTAATTGTTCACAATCTTTTCCAATATAGATGAAGCTCAGAGAAGCCATATTCAAAATTGCAAAGGGAAGTGATTGAATGTCCATAGGGATCAAGGAGAATTCTGAGCTCATGGAACCAAAATCATTGCAAGTTACCAGATACAAAGAAGCTATGTCTGATATATGAAATCCCAGATTTGAAAACAATTAAATAGCAGAAGAGAATTTCAGGGAAATATATCTATTTGCTCTGGTTTTGTTCTCCTCTTAGGCATCTGCTTAAGACCACAGTTAGAGTCAGGATTTGGAGGCAGATGGACTTTTTGTCAAACTCAGTATAGACATTCTGAAGTTACTGGTACATTTGTAAATACAAACTAGCCAGAGCCTTACTGCTTCTTGGCCCTGGTTGGGTCCTGGTAAAGGAGTTTGGATCTCTCTGGGGGAGAGAGGTAGAAAAATTAGGGACAAATGAAAAATCTAGAGGGAAGCCGACTCCAAAGTTTCCATTGCCAATAGAATTATTTATATGTAATCATTGTGCTTCTGCAACTTAATGCATTTAATTTGTGTGTGTGCCTAAGCTTGCATAACTTACATCCCCTGGTTGCAGCAGCTTTTGCAGGGTATCAGTGTAGGCTGCAGTTCCATGGGCATTTCTTTATGCAATTATCGTGCTTTAATTGAAGAAAGACAGACTGAGGAACCTAAACTGAAAGTAACCCACAGAATAAAAAGCATCCGTTTTAGCCTGGTTCTGTTCCTGCGTCCAGTTCACCACTCAGCCACATAAAAGCTTTTCTGAAGGCAAGCAGTGACAGTGATGCTGGCCTTTTCATGTCTGAAGTGTTTGTGAGACTGTCAGCTCAGGGCAGGGGATATGAAATCACTGCTATAGAATGTACGGTGCGTGTTCCCTGTGACACTCTCCGTGCAAGGCAGCCACACGCTGCACCAGAATTTGGCACATAACATGTCTTTGCAGGCTCTGTGTGAAGGTCATTGTCCAGAGAAAATAGGAATTTTCAACTTAGTGTTTCTTCCTAATGAGAACCTTTCAGTTCCTTCAAGTAACTGCTTCAGATGCTTTACTCCACATTGTTCCTCATTTCCGTTAGAAGTCAGAACTTGTTCCTAATGTCTTCTTCCTTTCTCCCCAGATAATCTGATCAAAGCCATCCTGTCAGCAACCAAAGATTATCGTCTAACTCCAGCTCTTGACAGGTAAGATGAGACCTTCAGAACAGAGGGAGTAGAAGTGATTCTTTTCCATATGTCCTAAATAAATTTTGTTAGACATATTTTGCCAGAAATTATTGCCAATACATTTGAACGTGGATGAGTAAGTCAGGAGCTGAAAACTGAGTTCTCTTTAGAGTAAATCTGCAGGCTCTGGAGACCTCTGTCAAGTCAAGCATAAGTAGAAAAAAGCATTTAGCTTTTGACTATTTCCTAATCATTTGTTTCATATGTTGTTCCAAGACATCCTCTTGCCCTGTTTTCAAATAGGTAAGTAGCAGGTTTTCAATAAACACTTTGTTCTTTTCCAGCCTTTCTGAAAAAGCAACAGAATCACAAGGAACTTTAGAAGGAAAGAAAGGACTGGCTTATTTCAACAATGTCTTTCATTAATACCTCACTCTCAGAGTAGGAGTGTTTGGTTGTGTTGGCCAAGCCTGTGCTAGGATGAACAAGATAGCAGTCTCCTGGGTCCTGTGATATTTGAATTGATGCCTTTAGAAGAAGATCCTTTGATTCTTCAGTTCTGTTGTAGAGGTTGTTTCTGAAACTCACTGACATGTTTACAATCAGCTTCCCAGTGATAGCCCTTTAGTCCTTCCTGTCCTTGCTTTTCTGTCATTCCTTCAATTTTTCCTGCAGGTTTGGTTTAGTGCCACCTCCCAGATTAGGGATAGTTTTTTTCAGAAGCTGTCAGAGGTTTTTACTCTGGGACTTGAGCTCTTTTCGAAGTCCTGGTAACACATCTTTTCAGTGGTACTTGATCCAGGCTGACAACACAGTTCCTGCTTTCTAAACACATGGGTTTTATTTCCTGGCCCAGCTCCCCTTCTGCCCACTTTTGGTGGCAAAGTTCATAAGCTTAGCCAGTCTTTCTGTAGGTCTCTGCATCTCTCATGCTGATTGTAGAGCTTGCCTGCTGTAGTTGGGAGTTACTCTCTGTGTGAAAGTTTATTCTTAGTCTTGCACAGTCTATGTGTTAATTTAGGTTTCTTTGAAGTTTGCCTTGCCTCACAGCAGTGCCAGATAGGGTTAGCCTTCAGACTTTTGATTAATTTGAGAAATTATGTCCAGAAGGTAAAACCATTTTACAAATTACCTTCTTAGAGATTTTGCACACAAGTGAGTCTCACCCATCTAGGGTTTATCTCAGTTCTGGTTGGAGAGTTAAGATTTTAATCTGTTGAAAAATCCACATATAGACTCTTTCAGAAGGTTGCTCATATGAAATTAGTGTTAATGACAGAGGGCAGGTGGAAGATTCTTGCAGTGAAGGTTAATGTAGTTGTGACCCTTGCTGCTCACCTGTTTTTGAGGAGTAGAATGTTTCAGGCTTTTTAAAAGTAATTTCGCATGAGATTCCGAAGCATAATAACTCTGGCATGAGCTGCTCACTTTGGTTTGTGTTCTTTTTAATGAGTTTGGTGCAGAGGTAGGAAAGATCTTAAGCCTCATAAAATGTATGCAAAATCCATGAGATACCAAGTGCAAATGAGACCTCAGGAACAGGCTAGACATTTATTTCTCTGGTTTTGCAGCAACAAGGGTTGGTGGTGTGTAAACACACAGATATCTTGGGGCAGTACTGTTTCCTTGGGAATTGTGATAAATCCCTATCAGTGGATGTTGGTTGTGTAGTACATATGCATCACAATCAAATACCTCCCAAAGCCCTTCCAAGTGAGCAGGTCTTAGGAAGGATAAAACCAGAAGTGTTTATGAGAGAAAGGGACTCAAGGAGGCTTGGGATAGCAAGCTGGAAAGTGAGAGCCTAAAGGAGGAGGTGGATGGAGTTGCAACAGAGGAGTTATTAGGAGAAAGAGCTTCAGAACTGTAGGAGGTGTTAAGTCTGCCATAGTGCTGCTCTGGCAAACCAGCTTGGTGAGTAGGGCACAGATGAAGACTTGGGTATCATTCCAGAGATAATCTTCAGTTGTAGTCATCACTGAATTCCAGTGCTGGCAGCAATGGGTATCTGCCATTTTGGATTCCTAAAAAGTTGGTGTGAAGACTGGTGGATGAAGGCTAGCTCCTTTCTCATCTTGTCTCAAGCTCCAAGCAGATCCTAGGAGCTCCCCTCCATGGCAGCACCAGTGTGCTGGGGGCAGAGCCTTGGGTTTAGCTACTCCTTTCCTGCTCACTGGTCAAGGAGAAAGTCCAGACCTCTCCCCTCTGCTCAACATCGTGAAGCAACTGAAGAAAACCTGACTTAGGGGACCTTGAAAGGTCCTTCCCAACCCAAACCATTCTTGATTCTGTGATAGAGAGCTGAGAAAATGTCCTATTGTGGAAGAATTAGATAAGAGACACAAGTCAAGTCTGTGAGGTTCAAGGGGTTGGGCTTGGGAGATCTTGTGAACCCTTCCACCTGTAGGCTCTCAGAAGTCTAGTGGGCTGATTCTAGAAGCAGGAAAAAGGCTTCAGGTTCACCTTCTTTTCAGAATGGAGTTACACCAACGTTTTCTCTGTTGGCAAGTCTAAGAAGCTGTATTTGCTACTGCTGCTGCCCTTCTCCTTGTGCTGCTGCTATTGTTTAAAAGGGGACTTCAAAGTAGATCAGTGAGATGATTCCAGTTTATGAGCTTTTCTCTCAACCCAGGTCATTCCAGTGACTTCATTTCCAGAGCTCCCCTCCCACTGAAGAGCTGTGTGGGCACAGAGCTGAAATGGCAGCAGGAGAGGCAGAGGCTGGGATGGGTGGGGAGGGTGAGCACTGCCCAGCCCATTGGAGTAAGTGTTCGTGTAACTATACACTGAAGGCAGCTTTCCCAGGGGAAGGGTGGGAGAGGCAGGAAAGGTGAGGTCAGAGCAGTGCGTGAGAGCACAGAAAGGAAGGAGAGGATTAGAGTTGTGTGGTGGAGGATCTCTACACCAAGCCTTTGGTCTTCTTCCTACCCAAACTTCTTGGTTTGTGCCCTCCTTCACAAAGCTGGTCCTTGAGAAGTTGCATTCACTTGCCTCTCATAAGCCCTGGAAATGAACTTTGTTTGATTATTCCTGTGCTAAAGGGCATCCTGATGCACCTTTCCTGACACAATGTACTGACATGGTGCTGAAATGAGGCAAACGTGATCCTTCCAGGTATGCGTGCACTTTTCATCATCCCACAGCAGCTTTGCCAACTCACTTCCACTAATCCCTCCATTGTGTTATAGCTAGCAGCAGCTGGAGGGCATGTGCACAAAGGCTGTGGTTCACACCTGTAACTCTGTGTGCATGGTGTCCTGCTTTCTCCATGACTCCTTATTACAGCACCGTTGTGTTGAGTAGGAGCCTGCTCCTGCTCCAGGGCAGGGGGCAGGTAAAGCTGCACTGATGTTCAGGAGGGTAGTTACAAATCACCCCTGAGCTTGTCTGGAAAAGTTTGGAGATCCAGAAGACTTTAGAACCACTGACCTCTTCCTTCTGAGCTGGCCTGTCTTTCTCCCTAACACAGATGTCAGTGGGCCTCATCTTTGAAACTTCTTTCCCTCCATAGGCTTTTCCAGGCCCTCTTATATTGCTGAGATTCTCATTGCTTGATTTAGTGGCTCCTCCAGTGGCCTGTCCCTCATTCTGCAAATGGATCAGGGCTTGATTTATAATTCCACTGCCCATCTGCTGGCTGGACTTCAGTGGATTTTTGGGTTACATCTCTGTGGTGATGACATGTAAATTTCCTATGAGAAGACATAAATATAAAAGCCTGAGTGATGTTTTTTGTATTGCCTCCAGCTGGTAATGAAAAAAAACCTGAGAGTTTGAGCTTATAACTATCATAGTCTTTACAAATGTAGTATACTACCTGAACAAGTGAGGAAAGGATTTGATAGAGCAAGAGAGGTGTGTGTCCCCCTCTGGTTCAGGCTGATAGCACCCATTTAAGTAACAGCAGCCAGAACAAACCAGAGTATGTTAAGCCTCCTTAAGCACTACCTACCCTAAAGATGTATTTTTTAATTATTCTGTTATATCTTTCCTCAAAGCCTTCAGATCCAAAGATGTGTAAAGAAAGGCTTTGTGGTTTTTCTCCCCTGACAAATCCCTAAAGCACTTTGATAAGAGAGAAGAGGAAATAGGAATTGCTACAAAGCATACACATGTTTACAGTTCCATATTGTTCAAGAAAATCTGCATGAATCCTGCTTTTGGTGCAGATGAACTGAACCTTGGAGTATTTGTGTCAAGAGTCTGTGCATCTGGCTGCAGCTCCCAGCTTAGGGTTTTAGGGAGTATCTGTTGTGGAAAGTCCATGACCGTCCTTCATACCACCCTGGTAGCAAACTGAAACATGGGCTGTGTCTGATGTGCTCAATCCTTGAAATCTTCTGGAAAAGAAATAGGGCTTTGACATACTGTGTAAACAAGCACAAAGGTGTTTGCACACTTCTTTGTGGAGAAACAATTGAGCTGTAACTGATGCTGCTTGCACTGTGTATTTCTTCACCCAGAAACTTGCCCGGAGCCAGCAATGACTGTGCAGGTTTCCCATGCTCAGGCACAATCAGCAGACAGAGTAGATTTGAAAGAAATTTAAGCTGTTAGAAGATCAAAGATGAGACCTTGGGGTCAGAAAGTTACTAATGAAAAATCTTATCTGCAGACTTAAGGAAAAAGGAGAATGCATTTAAATATGTCAGAACCATGAGGGTAGAAGAGTGGTTCAGACATGAAGCTGGGCAAAAGTGATTAACCTATCAATTACAATGAGTAAAGGCAGAACCATTCAGTTAAGTATTTGTTTCATTTTTGGGGGTAAAGATAGAAAGATGTCTCATTTTACAGCAACAATGAAATACTTCGTGATTCTTTTATTAGTAACTACAAGGATATTAAATGACAATTATATGTCTTTTAAAGTCAGTAAACACTGAAGAGTTAAATAAGGAATTCTTGTTGCTATTACTGTTTGCTTTTTAGCCCTTCCTGGAATGTTTGTGAGAACAGCAAATGTTGTCCCATTCCTGGAGAAATATGGGAGATAATACAGAGGTAGCTGTAAGTTCCTTCGTTTGGTTTTGCAGGAAAAATCCTGCAGAGGACAGAGCCAGGATGGCAGCATAACTGATGTTATGTTACTTTGGGTTTGTGGAAATTAAATCTTGTCATGTAGAAGATATATTTTTAGATGAACTAGAAGCTTGAATGGTAAAGGTAAACTTTTAGAAGCACACATTAGTTATTTGTCTCAGTCCATTATGTTCTGTTTCTATACTACACCATTTAGAGGTATCCTTTTTAGGAATAGAATATGTTACATAGCTTTAAAAAGTTATTGTCAGTGCGGAGAATTAATCCTTTAGTGACACTTGTAGTGTAATCCTGCTGGCAGGTGTTCACAGGGGCTAAAACCAGTCTGGAGTAAATGTGAAATTCCACTAGGAAAATTTTCCAGAACCAAAGACTGGGAAATTTACGAGCAGGAGGGCCAAGTCAGTCCTGACTGTTTTGTTGCATCCTTCACTGGAGCCAAATCAAAAATCAGGCATCACCAAGGCAACAATTCGGGTCATGTTTACAAGATGAGGATTAAATTCTGCAAACCAGTGACTGTAAGAAGAGGATTGGAATGATGTAAGTAAAATCTCTGTGTAAAAGACACTCCACCTTGAGCAGCATTAGGTCTGAATGCTGGTCTTCCAGAATCAGTACTCAGGAGATCTGGGAAGTTGAGAATTGTTCAGGGACGTGCTGCAAGTGTGAGTCAAGACCTAGAAGAGCTGCCATACCGTGCAAGATGTCATGAGCTCACTCCAGTTTGTTTGGTGAACAGAAGATTAGGAGTGGGGTTTGATCAGTCTATGAGTCCTGTGTGGGAGCAGGGCCATGAAGCTGCTGGAACAGCTTTGGCTGGTGGAACTGGTTCTTCTATCTCATGTGCAGCAGCTCATGCTGACCAGTCTGCCCTGTGAGAGGCAGATGTTTATACACAGTGCTTTCTCAGTAAGTGGATCTCATGCAGATGTGGAAGGCACTGCTGACAGTAGATGGTGCTTTAATTTAGCAGGAAAGCGAAGAAAGCGATTAAGTGGTTTGAGGTTGAAACAAGCAGATCTGTATTCAGAATTGGTAAGAACATCCTAACAGTAAGTGGGAAGAGGATAGAGTGGAGTGCCTGGAGCTTGCAGCCTTTGGATTTCAGCTCTGTATTCTTCTTCAAAACAGAAAATTCAAAAGGAGTCATAGCTGAGAGACAGCTGAGTAGAGAAGGTACGGTATTTCACCCAGCAGTCTGTTTTTTAGGAGGTCAAACTTTCCTGTCATAATCATCAAAAGAGTGTATTTCCTTCTGAAATATCACTTGGCCAGAACTGAACTATGTCTCTTTCTCCCTCCTACAGCACCTTTTCCTTAAAGGTTTTGACAAAGCTGCTACCATCTTTGTCACTCATTTTGGTGTACTTGGGGCTGACTCTCCCTTCCCTCTTTGTCACAATATACTGCTTGAACCAGATTTTGTGTCTGATTTCTCCTTGTTGCCGGAACTGGTTTGCTTGGGGTTTTTTTGCTATGCCATCATCTATAAAATTCTTTCTCTATTGTGGTTTGATTATCATAAACACACACGTTTCTTTAACCCTTGGGGATACTGGGCTAATATGTCCATGTCCATGAGGAAGCTTTTTCTTTTGGAAAGGCTTGGATCTGCAGTGGAACTTTATCTGGGCAGGGGAAGCTGTTCCTGAGCATTTCTTGGTGCTGTTAATTCTGCATGTGTCTCCAGCTAATGTCTCTGTCAGCAGAGTGACCTTCAGTGGTTTAGCTGAGTCTTCACAGTGCCCTCCAGCCCTGCTCTGCAAAAAGGGACCTCACATAAACACAGCTTTCCTCATGCTGGCTCTTTAGACTTATCACAGAGAGGACAGCCCAGAAGCAACCAGTTGACTGTGCCTGGGACTAGGAAGGCTGCCTAGTTCAGGGATCTGCTCCAAACAACTGATTGCCTTGGACCCTTTCCGAAAAAGGCTCTGCAGACACGTATTCCTTCAGTGAACTACCAGAGCTGGAGGCACACTGCCAGAAGAGCCAGCTGCATTTGGGATTAGATGGCTGGAAAGAAGTCCTTTCTCTGTCTTCAAAACAAAATCGCTTTTTAACATCTGCTGCAGAGTTCTCGTGACTCAGGGTTCCACGAGAAACTGTTCTCTTCCTTCTCTTTCCTGTTTCTTTGTTAATTAAGGTTATTTTCCTTCCCTTTCCTCACCTATTGTGTCTCCATATATATTTCCTGCTGGACAGGCATGTGGGGGGGTGTCTTTTTTTCTCTCAATTGAATGTTTTTCTGTCTCTTGAAGTCTCACCATAACAGCAGCAATTTTGCTCTCAGCAAGGTGAGCACACCCCAGATACCTGGCAAGATCTGCCTGCACTCATAAAATTGCTTGGAGAGAAGACTTCCTCACTAAGCCTTTGGTTTGTTGTTATTTCAGTGCTGAATGAATAATGAGATGGTTCAAGTAAACAGATGGGTTTGATTCTAGCCCATCATACCAGGGGTGTGGGGGGAGAGGAGCTGCTTGTCCTGACAGCTCATTTCATTAGGCCACACGTGGTGTGAGGTGTTGAAAGCAGTTTATCACATGTAATGCCTGGGCATGATGAGGTGAGCTGAGGATCAAGTGTATCTCTGTCCCCCTCTTAATTCTTCATATTTACAGAGGTTTCCTGTAGTTCTCAAATGCATGCAAACTAAATATGTGCTCTCTGTGTGTTTGAAATTCTGCTACAAAAATCACTTCTCTCTGTTTCTTCCACAGTCTCAGCTGCCGGCGATGTATTATTGTGGGAAATGGTGGAGTACTTGCAAATAAGTCATTGGGGTTAAAAATTGATGACTATGATGTTGTTGTCAGGTGAGTCTTTGGCATTACAGTTCTTTCCCATATTCAGTTTCTGTATCCGTTCACTTGCTATGCAGGCAAACTTTAACCTGTGCTAGTGACAGTATCCCTTTGTATGGAAGCATTAACTTACAGAGAGGGTAAAAATAGACATGAGCTTAAAAAGGTTTGTTATAAATGATGATCACATCAAAGAGTAAAGTCATTCCTCAAGCTTTCTGTTTTCCACAGCTTCTTGGGAATGTGGTCTCTTGTATGATATCACTTGAACCTTCCCTTCATAGCTCCTTTCTAAAAGCTGCTTTTGTGATGCCCTTAGGTGGTCAAGCAGTAACTCACACTGCTGGATCTGCTCCCAGATATATTCCTGTGGTAGCTCAGGACAGTATTATTGGTTATACATGTGTAGCATTCCCCAGGAACTGCACCTCAGAGTTAGGATGGGCAGGACTAAGAATGGTGCAGCATAGGGTGTTAGGAAGCAGGAAGCCTCTATGAGAGAGGACCCAGCAGTGATTAAACAGCTGTAAGTGCCCTAGAAGCTGGCAATACTTTGGCTCTGTGTCTCTGCAGATGACAATGTCGAATAAGGCAGCAGAAGCAGAGTGGTGGGAGTGCCAAGGACCACAGTCAGAGTTAGGACTTCTTGCTTTTGCTGAGGACCTGGATCATGGCCATCTCAGAATGCCTGAAAAACGTGCTGATATGTGAAATCACAGGTCTAGTCATAACTCTCAGTAATAAATCTGTCAAGTCAGGGAGGCGTTCTGGGTGACTGGAGATTAACAAACATAATACCTGTACTAATGGAGAGTGAGAGAGTGCGTGTAGGAGGGAGGGAGGATGTGCTCTAGGGAGCTACAGACCCATTAGTCTGACCTGAAAAAAAATGCACTTTTCTATCAGGTTTTGAGTAACAAAATATTATTATGGTAAATAATAAAAGTGGAATAAGCTGCAATGTTAGTTTATAAAACTGGTTTAACATAGTCCAAGTTGGTATTTTTTTCTTAGTGCAATAACTGATTTTGTATTAAAAGAAATATATCTGATGTAATCTCTCTCAACTTTAATCAGCTTTAAGACGTGGTGACAAATAGCAAATTCTTTGCTAAAGGTAGAAGAAAGAAAGGGATTAATAAAGGAATTTCAGGCAGGTATTATTTATCACAGTCTCTATTCTCTCCCATGTGTAAGAAAAGAATAGGACAGACAAAGAGAAATAAATATCCTCTAACTCTGGAGAAATAGACCAAGAAGATCCCTTTCAGTCTTTGGTTCCTGTGAATGGTTCCCTGCTTCTCCATGAGTATGCTGGACACAGGGATGGCCGTTCAGAACAGGACAAAATTTTTTACTGCCCTTCTCCTAGCTCATCCCCCTATCAGTTGATAACAAAGAGCTCTTATTCCTCGTCATAGTCAGGTGACTTGTAGTTATTTCAGCTGAATTAAAATGCAGTTTATAGCCTTTCCTTGGGCTCAGGTTATTAAAAAAGTAGCAAAAGAACAGTTTCAATCCATCTGGTCTAAGCCACCCACTAAGATTTACATCAGAAAGGCCACTATTTAATTTCGAAATGAAAACTTCAACTTTTTCTCTCCACATCAGTAAATCTATGTCAGTTTGCAAGCTGGGAGGATAAGAGGGCAGCTAAGCACCTGTGCTGTTGGTGGGATGGATAAAGGAGAGAGAAGTCAACTGTAAAGGTTAAATGAAGCCAGGTGCTTGGATATGTATCTAACTGCTTGCTTTATTCCTGTGGAAGCTGGGGAAGTCCCATGTATTATAACATCCTTTCTCATACACTGAAGAACTTCTTTGAAGGATGATATTTGGGACCTAGGGAGTGAATTTTAAATGAAAAAATGTGGCACATTTGTGGACAAAGGAGTGATCCAGCAGTATGTGGAGTTCTTTGATGCCTCCTGTGTTACCATGTGAGGATTGCTAATTGCAGCAAGAAATTTTGTTCTTTGCAGTGAAGATAGTCCAATTCAGCTTTGTCAGTTCTAAAAGAGCTTGGAGTGAGTTACTGTTTTTCTTTAACTAGACATTATCAGATTTCAGTGCAGATGTTATTCCCAGCTGTCACACTATTTACCTGGCAGGACTTCTTGCAGCAGTCAGTCGTCAGTGCTCTGAAATGCCTCCTTAGAATAGATTGCAGACTGGGCAAAAATAACTGTGTATCAGAAATTCCTGATTAGAACCAGATAGGGATTCACCTGATGGTGATACCTGAGTGGTATCTGAAAGGATCTTCATGGTGGCAGGGTTAGGAGTTAGTGTCTCCATATGTAATCAGTGAATACAGACAGAAAAACACTCTGGAACTTCTTGTGGAGAAAGCTGCCTGTCCACGGGCGGTACAAGGAGGCCTGAGATCCTAACTGAAGTTTTCCAAGATTCAGCTGTGTTTATAACCACCAGTGCATCCTGCCTGGGAGGGGGTTTGGGCTGTGGAGTCTGTGCCTTTGGGTGCTGTGGCTGCCTGAACTTTCCCTGCTCCATTGCCCTCACTGCCCTGGGCCTTGGTGGTGCTGGCTCTGTCACTGTGGCTCCATCAGCAGCTCACACTCTGGCCCTTTGCTGGACACCTGAGTTCATTTCAGCTGGGGAAATGGTTTGGTTTATTTCCTGTCTAGATACAAAGAAGGGGTCCCAAGTTTTGAGAGTATTAACAAAGTAAACAGCAAAACAGTGAACCCAGAAGCTGTGGATGGGAAAAGCCCTGCCAAAGAGTGGCACAGTGACATTTGAAACAACTGCAGACATGTCCTCATTCTAAAGAAAACAGATGAAAATATGTAAAACTTGCTTTCTTTGCAGAATATTGGTAGTACTCTGTTACCTTTAGAGCTGCATGCTTTTGCTCTGTATAAGGTCATCTGCCCCAAAGAGACACAACACCTTAAAGTTTAAATACTCCCCACAGAAGAAATGAGTGGTGTGTGAATGTGCCATCAGCAACAGAGGAAAAAGCAAGGGATCAGGCTGGCTGGGAGAATTGTACTCAGGTCTAGTTCCTCAAAGTCAGGCTACAAAGGGTTTAAAAACCATGGGAAAAGGCTTCATCTGCTGTATTCATTGTGGTGGTGCTGATTCTTAAATTGTTTTGCCTTTAATATTTTATTCCTGATGATAAAATAAGTATTTTTGCTAAAAATGCCTAAGAATGTTTGAATATGACTTCAGATTGTACAGAGATTTTTATTCTACTAAAAGTTTTCCAATGTAAAATGCTTAGCCAGGCTAAAAAGAGAAATCCCACATTCCTACATGGCAAAATTTGCAATATATTGAACAACACCAAGTCAAGAATGCTGCAATAATTCAAGCAGGCAATCCTGTGCCGTCAGAGGCTGCTGTTTGATGTCAGCAAGATTTGTATTCCAAGTTACATGAAATTTCCTCAGCTTTGGGTTTTTAGTCTTGAATAGAAATTCTGAAAACTTTAATGTCGTAAAAGTCATCATGGCTGTTTGTGCCAAAGCAGTTTGCTTTTTCAAGGGAAAAAACCATTCTTGTTCCTAAGAAATGTTTTAACAAAAGCACAGCTAAATACATAGCATTTCCTTAGAAATCAGCGTCCCCAAGGGCACAGCTGTGTGACTGCTTGAGTGTTTTCAGAGTGGGATGCACTTCCACTGCAGAAACTCCTCCTTGGAGCCCGTGAGACTGCAGTGGTGCTGAGCCTTGTCCCAGCCCAACCTCTTCCTTTGTGCTGGCATTGCAAGGCAGCTCACCCTCCCAATGGGCCAGTTTGGGGAATTAAAGAGGTGGAGATTGATCCTATGGGATTTTTTTGAGAATTGTTAGTTGGCTTATTTCCCTGTGCAGCCTCACTGCAGGTGAATGGTGTAAGCTCTGGGCTGGGGTTGGAAAATGAGACCAGTTTTAGTTTGTTTAAACTGATGAGGAACTTCATCATCTCTTTCAACACATCAAAGGAGCAATGGGCTGTTAAAATATTAATGCTTAGTTTGTTACTCTAAATGTGCAAGGACAATATTCTTCACTTTCCTTTTCCAACTTCTGTGATCCTATTTAGATCATAGGAGTTGAAATGCAGAAATGGTTTGCATTATCTTCAATGATAGAATTTATGTAACTTCTAATTAAGCTGTCGTCGCTTGGTACAAACCTCCGTAAGTGTTTGTGATGAAGATCTGCAAGAATTAAGATTTGCTACTGTAGCAGCTGCTACAGGGAGCTCCTGCCCAGCAGTGATTGCTGTGTCACCAACACACAGGAGTGCAAGTGGGAATCTGAGTGTAAGTGGGAATCTGTGACAGTGTCTCTTCTCTGGTTGCCCTGCAGGCTGAACTCGGCTCCAGTGAAGGGCTTTGAAAAAGATGTGGGTGGCAAGACAACACTCCGGATCACATATCCCGAAGGTGCAATCCAGAAAATGGAGCAGTATGAGAAGGATTCCCTGTTTGTTCTGGCAGGATTCAAATGGCAGGATTTCAAGTGGCTGAAATACATTGTTTACAAGGAGAAAGTGGTAAGAACGCTGTCAGCTGACACTGTGAAGGTCACCTAAATAGTAATGATGGGCAGACATTGTATCACCATCATATCTGCCACATTTTGGTCTGAGGAGAGTTCCACTCGGTGTCCTGCTGAATTTAAGTGAAGACTTTCTTTACCTACAAGGACTTTAGCTTTGATTAAATATCTTTTACAAAGACATCTCTCTGTAATCTGTGTTGCATCACAGATGAGGCTTGGTATTCAAGATTGTTAGTGTGTACTATGAACAATTAAATTAATTTTTAGTTACCTTAAAGAGTATTTAAAACGACCAGCTTTTGCATGGATTTTATGGACTCTTAGGATTTAAGAGCAGAGGAAGGAAGAGAGCAATGGGAAAGGGAAGAAATGGGAGTTTGGGAACAAGGATGTGATGTCACAGGAGGGGAGAAGGAGACAGCAGCAGCACAACTTGTTGAAAAGGCTACAATCAGACTTAATGTGACCTCCTGAATAGTACAAGCCATTATATTTTTCTCAGTTACTGAGATTCATGATTTGTATTTGGTTAAAGTATCATCCAGAACAACAGTATCAAGTCTCATTTTAAAACACTGAAATGGTGGATACACTGCCTTCCCCATGTAAAAATTTTACCCCATCGTTTGCATGAGTGCACTTCTGAAGCACCATGGACCTGTTAATAGTCAGGGTTGCTCTCTTTAATTCACCTACCCAGAACAGAATCAGGTTATGATCAATGACTTCTCATTCCGTGGATAATTTGTCTGTCAGGAAATCCCAAATAAATAATGCGTATAGTTCTTGTTTTACAAATCTTTTATATATACATATATGTATCTGTTTTCAAATGTTGCTTAATGACTTTTCAGCAAATAAGAAGAAAACTGGATTAGCATTCAGGGCATGGCATATTATATTGTGTGTTTAGAGACAGAGAGAGGAGGTTGGCAGCTCACCACATACATAACGAAACAGTCTGGGAATATCATTGTATACAGTTGTTACACAGAGGGCCTTAAGGGCTCATACTTTGCTCTTGTCTAACACTGGCACCAACTTGCAATTATTTTCTTGCTACCAGACAGATGAAGTTACCTGTCAACCTCTGGGCAAGCACAAGTGGGCTTTCGTAACATGAATAATTGAGTCAAAAGTAATTTTCTTTGCTTTATGTCAGGCTCTTGTTCCTCATTCAGGGAAAGGGAAAGCCCTGGCAGTGTCAGTGCCCTGCAACCCAAATGCAGTTGCAGGGACTCCTAGTGTTTGGCTTGAAGCTCAAAGGATGGGTTGGTTTACTTCAAAACAAATTTAATTTTTGCCTCATGCTTGCAGTCAAGTTGTCATCAGTAGATTCTTGTGTGGTATACCCTGCTCTTGGAAAGGTGGAGAAAATAGTCTGTTAAAACCTGCTAGACTGGGGAGAGTGATTGCAGTTCTCTTAGCTGTGTGCTTCAGTGCCCAGATTGGCAGAGAGCAGAAAGAGCTTCAGCTTTGTGCATTACTTCAGTGTTTCTCTGATTGACTCCTTATCCTTCAGAATAAACACTCTGAGGTTTTTTCAGTTCTTTTAGGTGATGTTTTCCAGATCTCTTAATTCCTGTTGCTCTTTTGAATGTTTGTAGTTAATTCATCTTTTTCTTAAAGAGCAGTGCCCAAAAATTACAGACTACAGCAAAAAGGAGGAGCAAACAGATAATTCATTAACCTCACAGTTCTCATTCTTTATGCATCCACTGCTTCTGTGGCCTTTTCCACAATGGCATGGAACTGGAGGTGATTGTCAGGTTCCTGGAGACTCCAGGTCTCAGGAAGAATTGGAGAGCAGCCACTTCCCCCACTCCACACCCTGTGCTTGTGCTGTTGGCTCCTCGTGCCAAAGAGCAGCACTGTGCACTTGTCCCTCCTGATCCTTCCTTCCAGAACACTCCTCCAGTTTGCCAAGTTCCTTTGGCAGACTTCCCAGCATACGTGCCATTCTTTCCAGATTCATGTCCTCTGCAGTTTAATAAACATACTTTTTACTTCATCATCCAGGTTGATAATGAAAACACTAAACAATGTTGGTTCCTAGGCAGACCCCAAAGTATTAACATCCTTCCATTCCTAGAGTGAGCCCACTGAGCCTCCTGGATAGTTTTTTGGCCACTTCTGGACTTGTATCACACTTGTATCATCAATAATGCTTTTGGCACATTTGTGAAAGTGATCTGTCAGAAGTTTTACTGAATTCCAGTTCGTGTCTTACTTCTCCCCTGAGATAATTTTTTTGTCTGTATAAAGAATTTTTTAAAAAATAATTCTCTCTTGGCAAATCCACCTGGGTTGCTACTCAGTCTGTTTTGTTGTTTTGGTTTTTTTTTTCAGGTGCTTACAAATAATTAATCCTGCTATTCTGGGAATTGAATTCATAATTCAACTCTCTTCCCTTTTTTGCCTTATTAAGTCTAGGCACTACTTCTGTCCATTTTTCAATCCTTTGACCCCCTACCTTTTTTTGGGTTTTGATACCCCAAAGGGAATCAATGCTAGTTCTTGAGACTGCTGAGCCAGTTCATCGAGTACTTTAGGATGCAGCCCAGGTGGCTGGAAAACATCTGTCTTGTGCTCTCTTGTGCTCTCATCTGATTTCTCTCTACTTGAGGCTGAGATCTTGCTGTCACTGGCTTTAGCTGCAAGCAGGTGGCTCACACAGCTGCATTTTCTGGAGGAAACCAATGCAGAAAGTGCTGTCTCTTAGACAGGAATGACCCAATGGAGGATGAGCAGTGCTATGGGAATAGCACGTAGGCGTCTGTTTGTTCTGGTAGTGAGTGTTGGTATTTTCATCAGTGTGTGGTAGGTTCAAAATGACAAATGCTCTCTGTGTGTCAAGGGTTTGTTTCTCTCTCAGCTGATTTTCCAGAGAAAGGGGAGTTTCTTCCTTTCCTGGGTTTATGTAGAGGCACTTGCATGACCTGAGAGCTCTGTATGCCACTACTGCTTATTCCTTATCTGACATGTGCATCTGCAAGACTTCGTGCAGACACACTGCAAACCAGTGGTTACAGTCAGGACTCTGGCCTCAGGATGGAGAAAAGGAAAATGGAAGCATTCTGCTAAAGAACAGAACTGCTGTGGAAGTTGACGCATTCCTCGAAAAAATGGGCTGATCTGTCCTCTGATGTTTCCTTTGTCTGTGACTGTTGGTGGCAACTGCATCTGTCCATGGTACAGTCACAGGTGGGTAATGAGACCTTCTGAATTCCTTCAGGCACCTGGAGCAGCTTGGACTTGCTTGACCAGGTACTGGGATCCTTGCTTAGTCCTCTCTTGAGTAAGTGAAATCAAAGGGAGCTGATTGGAGAAAGAGTCAATGAAAGGCGAGTGGCTATTTATTGCTGGGTCAGTGGTCAGATCAGCTTATTCTCCCTGCAGCTGAGAGGGATTTGCTCTGTGTTGTGTTGGTCTTTTGGCAGCACTTGCATACTGAGAAAGGGATAAGTGCTGTGTAGAGAGGAGGATTTTCAGGAGATGTTATAAGGAAAAAGAATTAATGTGATGCAGAAGCATTAGCAGAATAGTGAGGCAGGGGATTTTATGTGTTACATACAGTCTGGTGCAACAGCCTCCCTGATATTTGTTTGGTGCCTTAGTGCCCTGGGAGACACTGTGTCCAGAAGGAGGAGCAGTGGAATTTGAACATAAGGAAATGTAAAAGCTCAACTACTTTTTATTTCACACTAAACCAGAAAAATCTGTAAGCAAGTAAAAACTTGAGAGAAAACATTAACTTGAGAGAAAACATTAACCTAGAAAAGGACAGGTTTGGCTAAATGTTCACTGTCAACAGCAAAACAAATGTAGTCTCCATCGCAGAGTTCTGGCTGGGCTGGCACTCCAGATTGAAGTCTTGTAGGAAGATAGAGCATAGTGTATCACCAGAGAAGGTAGACCTGCCTTTAAGAAGAGGAAGGGTGAGTGAATCCAAGTGACTTAAACACTGGTAACCTGATTTCAGTCATTTGACAAGCATTGGAATAACTAAAAGAGAAAACTAATCATCGCACAGGTTGCAGCTAGAAGTAGTGTGGGATGGAGAAAGGTGGCATGGTTAGCAGAGGGGAGTATTGTATCAGGCTGACCTAATAAGTCAGTGTCCAAGTGGAAAGGAAGTGGGTTGGAGTCCCAGAGCTGCAGTTCCATGAACTCATGGCTGTTGCAGAAGGGTCACAGATGTGAGCTGTTCGTGCCTCTGTGGTAACTGGTCTGGCTGTGCTGACTTGGAATCACTGCTGTAAGAGCCTGTGACACTTCCAGGCATCCCTTTGCTGATGAAACAAGTGCTGCCACTGCATCACCAGAGGGGGATTACTCATGGACAGTCACTCAGAACAGTTAAACATTCTCCTGGACTGTTATTTTTGCCAGGAGACATAATCTACATATATTGTAACCCACCCCACTGCTTCCCAGTGCTTGTACTCTCCTGCATCTGCCTGGGTCTTTCAGTGACAGAAACTCTTTCTGAATACACAAAGTACCAGAGGAATTGCAGAGGGATAGAGGCTTGGTCATATATTGCTTCTTAAAATAATGGTCAAAAGCTGAAAGTTTCTCTGTTGCATGGAGAGTAGATGCTTCCTGAAACAAACAGGACTTTACAAGCTCCAGATATGCAAAGCAGCCATCTCAGCCTGGTACTGAAGCCAGTTCCAGGGTGGTTTCTTGGCTGTCATTAGTCAATTAGAGGGAGCTCTCTGGCTTGCTCACATCCCTGAACATCTGGCACATGGCAATAAAGCTCCCAAGTGAGGGCAAAGGTGCCACTAGAAATTGGCAGCTCACAAGCTTCCTGCTCATGTGTTAATGAGCCTGTGGATGATTCCAGTGGGAATCACTGCAGCCTTTGCCAGGAGGAGTCACTTGTGCAGAAAGTGCCTGTGGCACCTAGAAGTTCCCTTTGATAGTGAAAGTCACAGGAGCAAGTGAGCACCTGCCTGTGAGGGAGGCCAGGCTGGGCTGTCTGTC